TGCTCTGTTCCAGATTTCTTGTAAGTTGTTTTTGGCTTCGGGCGATCGCACCACACCGTTTTTGATCATGGTTATTGGTTCCCATGTCATTTGGAAAATATTCTAAAGTAATTGATTTTTCACAAATATTTGAAAGTGAATGATTTAAATAATTAACAACAAGTGATGATAATAATCCAAACCCAGTGATTAAACATTAATTGAGCTTTGTTTTTTTAAAACATAGTTGCATAATAATCCAAACTGGGCGATTAAATCATTGACCTTTGTATAATTTAAAACATAGTTGCATCTTAATAATGATAAGAGTTGGTAATTGACCTTTGAATTTTTCAAACATAATTGCATCTAAAGTAAACGACTAAACGTCCTTCGAAACAATGGCGGAAATTAAAACGCATAGTAGACTAAAATCTAACTAATCCTCTCTTCCTTCTTCAGAATTAGTTAAATGCTTTTCACATAAAACACTTCTTCATCTTTAGCTTTCGTTTGTTGCTTACTCAAAGTTTTCTCTCTTTCTATCACCATGGGGAATTGTGTGTCTTTCCAACTTTCCTGTGATCAAACGTTGAACCATATCGTCAGATGCTTATGTGGTAAGGGTTATATTCGAAACCTCAAGGAGAATCTCAGGGCTCTGAAGAGGGAAATGGATGATCTCAAGGCAATTGAAGCTGAGGTGAAGAACAAAGTGGCGAGAGAGGAGGCACAACATCAACAAAGGCTTGAAGCTGTCAAGGTATGGCTAACACGTGTCGAGAGCATCGATACACGGTTCAATGATCTGCTTAGTACTAGTCCTGTTGAGCTTAAGAAGTTGTGTCTCTGTGGTTTATGTTCAAAAAGTGTATGTTCGAGCTACAAATATGGGAAAAAGGTATTCTTGTTGCTGGAAGAGGTCCAGATTCTCAAATCAGAGGGTAATTCTAAAGAGGTTACTGAGCCGGGTTTGAGATCTGCAGTAGAAGAGAGGCCTACGGGGCCTACGATTGGTCAGGAAACAATGCTGGGAAAGGCATGGAATCGCCTTATGGAAGATGGAGTTGGAATCATGGGTTTGCACGGTATGGGAGGTGTAGGCAAGACTACCCTTTTCAAGAAAATCCACAATAAGTTCACTGAAGTGGCTGGTAGATTTGATGTTGTGATCTGGGTCGTGGTGTCTCAAGGTGCGACTATTTCAAAGCTTCAAGAAGATATTGCACAAAAGCTAAACCTTGGCGGAACGAACAAAAGTGAAGATGACAAGGCCGCTGATATACACAGAGTTTTAAAGAGGAAGAGATTTGTTCTGATGTTAGATGATATATGGGAGAAAGTGGATTTAGAAGCCATTGGAGTTCCGTTTCCGACCAGAGAAAATGGATGCAAAGTAGCATTCACCACTCGTTCTCGGGAAGTATGTGGGCGGATGGGAGATCATGAGCCGATGAAAGTCAACTGTTTGGAATGGACTGAAGCATGGGAATTGTTCAAAAGCAAGGTAGGAGACAATACATTAAGTAGAGATCCTGCCATTGTCGAGCTTGCCAAAAAGGTCGCTAAAGAATGTTGTGGTCTGCCACTAGCGCTTGTTGTCATTGGTGAGACAATGTCATCTCAAACTACGGTACAAGAATGGGAGCTTGCAGTCGATGTTTTGTCCAGATCAGCTGCAGAGTTTTCCGACATGGAAAACAAAATTCTTCCGATTCTGAAGTTCAGCTACGATAGCTTGGTGGGTGAAAATATCAAGTCGTGTTTCCTCTATTGTGCTCTGTTTCCTGAAGATTTTCCTATACATAAAGAAAATTTGATAGAATATTGGATATGTGAGGGATTCATTGGGGAACACCAATCTTATAAAAGGGCAGTGAATAAGGGTTATGAGGTACTTGGTACCCTTATCCGCGCAAATTTACTGACAGAACAGTCTAATAGAATTTTGAAACTAAGATGTGTTGTGAATCTTGTGATGCATGACGTGGTTCGCGAAATGGCTCTATGGATTGCATCCGACTTTGGGAAACAGAAAGAGACTTTTTTGGTTCAAGCAGGAGTCGGATTACACGAAATGCCAAAAGTCAAGGATTGGAGAGCTGTGAGAAGGATGTCTTTGATGAAGAATGAGCTTAAAAAGATAACCTGTGGTTCCAAGTGTTCTGAACTTACAACTCTGCTCCTCCAGAAGAATGAGTTGATGAATCTCTCAGGTAAATTCATCGGCTCTATGCAAAAGCTAGTTGTTTTGGATCTATCAGATAATCGCTATTTCCAAAAACTTCCTGAGCAGATATCGAAGCTGGCCTCCTTGCAGTATCTTAACTTGTCAAACACAAGTATAGAGCAACTGCCAGTTGGTTTCCAAGAGTTGAAAAAGCTAATTCATCTGGATTTGACTTATACAAACAGTCTTCGTAGTATCAGTGGGATATCAAAGCTGTCGAGTTTAAGAATTTTGAAACTAAGAAATTCTAAAGTTCATGGAGATGTTAGCTTGTTGAAGGAGCTGCAGCTCTTGGAGCATCTACAAGTTCTAGAGATAACGATCTCTACCGAGTTGGGTTTGAAGCATATATTAGGCGATCCAAGGTTGGCTAACTGCATCAGTCGTCTGGGTATTCAAGGTTTTAAAGAAAAGCCATTCAATATGTCATCGCTGTTGAGTATGGAGAATCTTCGTCTGCTCCAGGTGGATGGTAGTCATGTGTCGGCGATTGATACATATATTAAATGCAGAGGAAGCAAGACGAGTCCATGCTTTACCAACCTCTCCGCCGTGAATATGAGAAACTGCGATAGCATTAAGGATCTGACTTGGCTACTCTTTGCTCCAAATCTGACTTGGCTAGACATTTCACATTTAGGAGAAGTAGAAGAAATCATAAACAAAGAGAAAGCAACCAATCTTACAAGTACTACACCATTTCAGAAACTAGAATACTTATCCCTGAGAAATCTGCCTGAGCTGGAGAGTATCTACTGGAGTCCTCTCCCCTTTCCATCATTGCGGTACATATATGTAGGAAATTGTCCAAAGCTGAGAAAGCTTCCTTTAGATGCTACAAGTGTCCCACGACTTGACGGGTTTGAAATATCTATGGTTCCTCCAGAACAGAAAACTGAGCTTGAATGGGAGGATGAAGATACAAAAAAACGTTTCCTGCCATCGGTCATTTGGGTAATCATTTCTCTTATTCTCTTCCGCTTGAATAAATTAATTTATCTTACTGAGTTTCTGTCAAGTTTGCTCAAGGTTAGAATGAAGTGTGATCGTTTTATTTTAGTCTGATATGATCCATTTGCATCATGATACCCAACAAAACACAAATTGGGTCACAAAATTAGAAAATTATCTGCAAAATCATCAGACCTGTGTTTGTTGGATATTTACGAGGGGTCAATTTCAAAAGTTTAAATACATACGTGCATTGAGCTCTTCAAATGACTAAATCACAAACAGTATTTTCTTTCTTCTTCTTTTCCTTTCACATTCGTTAAGCAAGGCATATATAAAAATATTTAATAGAAACTGGTTAAAATTAGTATATTAATGGTGAGGCAGAATTTGCTGGATATTCCTAGCAGTCTTAGATGAATTTCTGAATATTCACTAACTTTGTTTATTTTATTTCTTCTTAACATATTCAGTATAGACTAACCACACCAGAAGCTGGATTGGGATTCCTCACAGTCAGAAACCAGAATCCACGCTTCTTCTTCTGCTTTCTCTTTCTTCCTCAAAGTGTGATGTGTTGTTCATTTGGATTGTATTATTGTTTTTTCTATGCATTCTTATCTCTCTCTCTCTGCAGTGTGTTGTGTTGTTCAATTGGATTTTCTATTTTCAATTTTCTATGTAATAAGTTAAGGCGGATTGCTTTTTTCTCAAGCTACATGTATTTATATAATCAACAGTTTTTATGCTTTTACGTGAAAGGAGATATCATAAAAGCATGTGATGCCTCTGAATTTACTGTGTATTTTGATTCCTCACTATCCAAAATCAAATTCCTCTACCTGTAGCTTTTTCTATTTCATCTTGAAGTGTATATGTGTTGTTAACAGGAGGAATCAAGATGAAAAGTTATATGATTTTGCTGAATCATGAAGATCCTGTTTATCAGACTCTCTAATTTAAACCCCCTAAACCTAATCTGAAGATGCTATGACTTCCATCTAATCCCAAACTATATCTAGTGGCTTTCTGATTTGGGGCAATAAGCTTAAGAGACAACTTCACTTAAGAAGACATGGAAAGAGTCTTCTTAATTTTAAGAGTTTTCACATTCCTTTCCTAATGGCTTCACCACATTAAGAACATTAAAACAAGAGCCCAAGAACAAATCTTCAGCAAAAAACAAATTCGCAAGCCTAATTTGATACGCTCAATTATTCACTGCCCACCGGTCTTGAACATTGAACATTGGTTCGTCATTTGAATTAGCTGCGTGTCCAGAAACTACAACAATCTTGTAGAGTAGATTCTGGCAAAACTCAATCTTCTTTCTTTTACGATACAAAGCAGACGGCGACTACATACAAAGCAGCGGTGCTGATAAGAACTGATACCGCTGAGTGTTGTCCATTTCCATATGACTCAATATAAGTTATTAAAAAAATTGAAAATTCAATGGACCAATGCTAACACAAAGCAAATAGCCGTTTGCAATTTGTAAGATTTGTTCGCATCAATAGCCTGGACCTGATCTCGGCCTACTCCATTTAGAAAATTCAAAATTGTAAACTAAATGTTTATTAGTCTTATACTGAAAAGTGAAGACAATACAATTTGAAGCTTAGCAAAGTAAGACCACCTACCTCCTCGGTGATATCCTATGGGATATTAGAGGAAAAGTGGGTTTAAAATTAATTGAAAAATGCATTTAATTATAAGGACTGATTTAGTTTGATATATGAATTTTTTGAAGTACTAAAATGTCAATAACAAATGAAAAGTTGTATTATTACTTTAATCTACATTGAACCATTTATGATATTTGGTTATTTGCTAGACAATGCTTGATTGTGTTAGAAATGACAAATGGTTTTTTATTTATTTGTGTTTGTTTATTTTCTTTTTTGGTATATAAAATGAATATGTATTTTAATTTGTTTTATATTATTGGGTTGTATCATATGTTTTTAGTTTATATCTCATTCATTTTGATTATACTACTAAGCAATTATTAAATTATTATTTAAAAAGAAATTTACTACCATTTCGAATAAATCTATCAAATCCTAAACTAAATTTACCATTAAATAAACAAATACCACTATTCAAGCAAACAAATCTACAAATATTTTTTTTGATAAACAAATCTCCATTTCCGTGCTAGTAACTCACTCCACTTCCATCATATTATTTATCTTTTGATCCACCATTCGTCGTCAATAACCTACTAGAGAAGAAGATAAATACATAAAATCCAAAATAAATCTATCATTATATCAAAAATAAATCTACTGTATACTAAACCTATACAAAAATAAATCTTTCATCATTTGACAATAAATCTACCACTACTAGGAAAATAAATCTACCATTAATGAAAATCTACGAATAAGTCTATCATCATTGACATAGTCCGCGAAATGGCTCTATGGATTGCATCTGACTTTGGAAAACCGAAAGAAATTTGTGTTGTGCAAGCGCGAGTCGGATTACGTGAGACACCAAAAGTTGAAGATTGGAGACCTGTGAGAATTTTATCATTAATGTGTAATGCGATAGAAGAGATTAGTTGCTGTTCCAAGTGTTCTGAACTTACAACTATGTTTTTCCAGGATAATAAATTGAAGAGTCTCTCAAGTGAATTCATCCTTTCTATGCAAAAACTACTTGTTTTGGATTTATCCGGTAATAATAACTTCAATTAACTTCCAGAGCAGATATCAGAGCTGACCTCCTTACAGTATCTTGACTTGTCGAATACAAGTATAGAGCAACTGCCTGTTGGTTTCCAAGAGTTGAAAAAGCTAATCCAGCTAAATTTGACTTCTACACACAGACTTCGGAGTATCAGTGAGATATCAAAGGTTTCGAGTTTAAGAATTTTGAAACTACTAAAGTCCAATGTTCATGGAGATGTTAGCTCAGTGAAGGAGCTACAGATCTTGGAGCATCTACAAGTTCTAACCATAACGATATCTACGGAATTGGGTTTGGAGCAAATATTAGGGGATCAAAAGTTGGCGAACTGCATCAATGGTCTGTGTATTCAATCTTTTTATAAAAAGCCATTGAATATGTCATTGCTGGTGAGTATGAAGAATCTTCGTATGCTCTGGCTGGAAAATAGTCATATCTCGGAGATTAATACAAAATGCAGAGAAGGCGGGACGGACTTGTCAGATCTAGACAATCCGACAAGTCCATGCTTTACAAACCTCTTGTTTGTGCATATCTATGGCTGTATTGGCTTTAAGGATATGACTTGGCTATTGTTTGCTCCAAATCTTGTCTACCTACAAATTGAATATTCAAACGAAGTGGAAGAAATAATAAACAAAGAGAAAGCAAACAATCTTACAGGTATTACACCATTTCAGAAACTTGAATTCTTATCGCTGACAAGTTTGCCTAAGCTGGAGAGTATCTATTGGAGTCCTCTCCCCTTTCCATCATTGTGGCACACAAGCGTACTAGAGTGTCCAAATCTGAGAAAGCTTCCCTTTGATGCTACAAGTGTCCCACGACTTGCCCGGTTTACAATAGATATGGGTCATGGACAAGAGATAACTGAGCTTGAATGGGAGGACGAAGATACCAAAAACCGTTTATTGCCTTTAATCCATCTGGTAATCAGTTCTCTTAATACCCTTCCGCTTTGGTTTTTATTTTTTTCATCTCTGAGTTTTTTTCATGTTTGCTATAGGTTAGCTTGAAGTATTCACCCTTATTAGACTGATACTCTCCATTTGCATCATGATATACCCGACAAACACAAATTGGACAACATGATAAAAAAAAAATATTAGAAAAGTCATGCATGTGTTCGGTGGATTAGTTTCATTATTTCAAAATGTAAAAACATATGTGTATTGATCTCTTCAAAGGATCAAATCACAAACAATTTCTTCTTCTTTTCCTTCCACATCTGGGTTTCTTGTTCAGCAAGAAATAAATGGGAGGTTAGAAATATTAAAAGAAAACGACTAAAAGTAGTTCAGATTCTTAAGATTTATATATACTCAATATGCTTGTGCCTCTCAATTTCAATGAGCCCCGCAAGTGTCACTCACTAACTTTTGTTTCTTTTTTTTCATCGTTTGTTGCTTTAGGTCTACTAAACATCCTTCACTATGCATAAGGATTCGGCACTAAGAACAGAATCTACGCATCTTCGTCTTCTGTCTTTGATCTTGTAGTGTGATGTGTTCATTTTGGATATCATTACTGATTCGTATCCTTCTGCAGTGTTTTGTGTTGTTCACTTGGATTATGTTTTTCATTTTCCTATTGTATCAACTTAAGACGGATTGCGTCCTTCTCAAACTAAAGCAAATCAAATAGTTTTATGTTTTTGCGTATGTAAAAGGGGATCTTCAGAGTATTATTGTTTGATGTGTGATGTGTTGTTCATATGGATTGTATTATCCTATTATTGTTTTTCCTTTGCATTCTTATCTCTCTGCAAGTGTGTTGTGACGCCACTTGGATTAGGTATTTCATTCTCCTATTGTATAACTTAAGACGGGTTGCTTCCTTGTCAAACTAAAACCAATTCAAATTGTTTTATGCTTTTGTATCCTTTGCATTCTTATCTCTCTGCAAGTGTACTGTTTTGTTTTGTTGTTCTCGTAGGGGTTTGCTTTTGTATATGTAGGGGTCTTGACGTCTTGTTCCCTTGTTTTAGCTCGTTATCTAGCTTTTCCTTCGCTTTTCACTTTTTTGTTTTGTTTTTTAACTCTTTGATCAACGGGTTTATTTTCATTGAGCAGGGATTTGAATGCCAACAGTATTTGTATAACCAGTTTAAATTAATGGGATACATGTAAAGTTAATGAAGAGTTGTAATTTGTTTTTCACAAATTTTCATAATCCAAAGTCAATGATTGTCGGTGGAAATTTGAAATCTTTTATATTATTATTTGAGAAAAACACTTTAAAAATAACATTTGTCATATGTAATATTAACAATTTTGCTATGCTCTCAATTTTTTTTGGAAAAAAAAGACTTATATTACTAGAATAATTATAATTAATTCCATTCATATTAATTTGATTAAAAAATCAAATATATCTTATTAAACTAATCATTAAAAGTAATTTTTTAAAAAATCTTTCTTTCTTTGATTAGACACACAAAAACTAGTAAATAATTTCAAAGCATATGTATTAGCCAATCAAATAGAATCAAAAATATCTGAAATTTAATTATATCATATTAATTATTTTCTTATATTCAATCCTTATTCAATTATATAATAAGAATTATTTTTAAATCATTATATATTTTTTTATTTCTTTGTTTACTTTTTTCTGAATTAATTATCACATCAAACATATAAAAATTTAATATTTTTATGCATATGCGATAATTTGAATTTGAAAAAACAAAACAAAATAAATTACTAAAATTTTTATTCAATAAAATATATCGATTTTTCAGTTAAACTATTAACTATATAATTACATTCATATTTAAAACAAAAGCAGTCGACAAAAAAAAGAAAAACAAAAGCAATATGAAAATCAATAATAAAATCTTATAGTTCTATTATATATTTGTAATTGTAATACTAATACAAAATCATATCATTACTCATCATAATATTATTAACATACATATAAAATCAATTAAATTATTTATATTTTAAATCAATTAAATCATGTTTAGTAATATTTTATAGATACTTCACGGTTCACGCGGCGCATGAGACGAAAACTATTTGCTTATAATTGAAAAATATTTAACTAAAACTATGCATTCAATATTTTTATCGATTATTTTCTGATTTTTTATACTTTTGGAAAAATCATTGTAGTTTAACCATTTAAAAAAAAATATTCAAGACAAAAACAAAAATCTATCTTGCAAAAATATCAGTTATAAGTTTTTCAAATATAATGCAGATGAAATTTGGTTGTTACCTAATATAGTTATCAAACATATTTTATATTTTTTCTGTTTATTACTGATTATTTTTTAAAAAATCAAAATTTTTGAAAATCTATATAACATAATTGGAATCCCTACGATTAGCCTCTATATAAGAAGAAATGTCTTCTATTTTACTCATCATTTTTTAAAAGGTAGCATTTTTGAACTAATTATAATCTTTGTTTCCAAAATTTATTTTTTTCCAACTCAATCTCTGATTAAAATTTTTTTGGAGAATATTTAAAAAAAAAGGTGAATATTATAAGACTTTGCAAAAAAAAAAACAAAATGAAGTTGTTGTTGGTCTAACAATCGAGAATGTTGTAATCGACTCTAAAGTTAATTATTTATTTTATTTAGTTTTATCATTTCTATTATTTATGCTAAGAGAGGTTATTGGAATTTGGATTTATAAAGGCTAGGCTTGTACCTGCGCATACGCGCGAGTTTTGTTTTACATAATATTTTTAAAAATAATTTGTGTTGATATATATATATATATATATATATATGTAGTTAATTATAAAAATATGGTAATTTGCTTGATTGTTTGGTATTTGTTTTTTTTTTATTAAAATCTTTATCAAACAAATAACTTTTTTTAAGGATTGAAAGTAGGGTAAGTAAGAAAATTATTCTACTATTCTAGAAATCATAAACATAATATGAGTAAAAAGACGGAGATAAAAGTGTCGCGAAGAACAAATAACTCATGAGCCTTCTTAAACAACCCATCATGCCTCTTAGAGAAGGTAACTTGCCTGCTATTCACATTCTAGAACCTCTTTATAACGATTTTTCCACATCTCATCTTAATTTGAATATTGCATAGAACACAATATGAGAAAAAGTTTAATCTTTATTCCGTCTTCAAATCCCCAAAATTGGCAAACAAATAAAAGAGAGATTGAGCCACTGTGAGACAAGGAATATGAGATAAAATAGAGGGGGAAGAAGATGAAATAAAAGCATTAAAAGATGGGAGATGTGTCCTCCTTACAAAGGCTGACGTGGCGCATAGATAGAGCTGGATCACCTTAAATCATATGACAGATTTTGGTTGATTTAAAAAGTAATAAGATTAGTCAAATCTTCAAGAGTTTTGTTAGATTTGTAAAATTTGAAGAGAGTGTTGTGGATTTAAAACAATTTACAAAATAATTTTACTATGACAGATTTTAAGAATTCAATAGATATAGATAGTATTTTAAAAATCTTGATTTATGAGTTGAATTGTAAAGAATTTTTATCCCAATAACACTAGCTTTTAATATAATTATAAAATCATTAAAATATAAACTTTTTGAAGAACAATGAATTTTGATTAGATTATAAAAATCATCAAACCAATAACAATGGATTTTTAAAGAATGTTATAATCTATTTACGAATAATAGTGGAATCGATTAAGAATGTACAAATCTACAAACCAGTAACCATATAATCTATTAAGAATTGGGTGTCAAATTTTTCTTGTGATGGAGCAGTAAATGGTATCTTTAGATGCTTACTTGGTAAAGGTTATATCCTAAACCTCAAGAAGAACTTTTCAGAGGGAAATGGAAGATCTCAAAGCATTTCAACAACAGGTGAAAAACAGAGTTGCATTAGAGGAGACACAACATCGAAAAAGGCTTGACCTACTAGAGTGATGAGAGTTTAGAATTGGAAGAATTGTAATGTATATTGACTCTCATAATTATAATGAATAGAGTAGATACATATTTATACCATAGATCTTTTCTAAAGAAGATAGATACAAATCTCTATAATATCTAAATAATAATATACACAATATTAACAATAATATCTAGAATCTTCTAGATTCTTCTATATTGTAACTGTGTCGAGAGCATCCATACACGAGTAACTGAACTGCTCAGTACTAGTACTATTCAGCTTCCAAAGTTGTGTCTCTGCGGTTTATGCTCAAAAAGTGTATTCTCAAGCTATTTGGGAAAAATGTATTCTTGTTGTTGGATGAAGTTAAGATTCTCAAATTGGAAGGTGATTTTAAAGAGGTATCTGAGCCGCTTACAAGATCTGTAGTGGAAGTCAGGCCTTCAGGGCCTACGATTGGCCTAGAAATAATGCTTGAAGTGGCATGGAATCGTCTTATGAAAGATGGAGTCGGAATCATGGGCCTGCACAGTATGGGTGGTGTTGAAAAAACTACACTTTTCAAAAAAAATTCACAATAAGTTCGGTGAAATGGCTGGTGGGTGTCAAGTTATCATCTGGGTCGTGGTATCTCAAGGCACAAATATTTCAAAGCTTCAAGAAGATATTGCACAAAAGCTACACCTTTGCGACGGCGAGTGTACGAACAAAAACGAAGGTGACAAGGCCGCTGATATAACTAGAGTTTTAAAAGGGAAGCGATTTGTTCTGATGCTAGATCATATATGGGAGAAAGTTGATTTAGAAGCTATTGGTGTTCCGTTTCCCACAATGGATGCACAGTAGCTTTCACCACTCGTTCTCTCGAAGTGTGTAAGCGGATGGGGGATCATGAACCAATGCAAGTCAACTGTCTGGAAAAACATATAGCATGGGAATTGTTTGAAAAAATGGTCGGTGGCAATACTTTGAAAAGTGATCCTGAAATTGTCGAGCTCGCAAGAAAGGTTGCTGAAAGTTGTTGTGGTCTGCCACTAGCGCTAATTGCCATCGGTGAGACAATGTCATATCAAACTACGGTACAAGAATGGGAGCTTGCAGTCGATGTCTTGACCAGATCCGCTGCAGAGTTTTCCGACATGGAAAACAAAATTCTTCTAATTCTGAAGTACAGCTATGATAGCTTGGTGGGTGAACACATCTGTTGAATTATGGTCTAAGTTTCAATTCTGGTATAACGGCTAGATTAATGTTTGGGTTTAGACTGGTTAGTCATCTTAGTTGGTTATCAAGTATTGGTCCAATTAAGAGGATATAATTTGGTTCTGGTTAATATCCGGTTTTGTTGTAAGCCTCTTGTATATAAAAAGGATTAGGATCTAGCCGTTAGCACAGTTGTAACAAACCTTATCGTCTTCTTTCTCGCGAGCTCTCGGTTCTTGGAGACTTGTGATTTTTTCGTGTTAGTGGAATTGCCGTCTCGAGATCTGGCCCCAGAGACGTAGCCTTCATCTAGGAGGTGAACTTTGGGTAATCAAATCGTGTGCTCTGTGTTCTTCGTCTTTCTCTCGTTTATACTCATGCGAATCTTCAGAGAGAGAGAGAGAGAGAGTTCAATAGAGTGAGAGTTTGTCGTTGCTTGAGCTCAATCAGTACGATTACGTTTCAACAACATCAAGTCGTATTTCCTCTATTGTGCTTTGTCAAAAGATTTTCAAATAAGTAAAGAAGAATTGATAGAGTACTGGATGTGCGAGGGATTCATCGGGGGAACACAAATCTTATAAAAGGGCAATGAATAAGGGTTATGTGGTACTTGATACCCTTATCCACTCAAATTTACTGACAGAGTCTAATAGTAGAAGAGGTGTTGTGATGCATGACGTGGTTCGCGAAATGGCTCTATGGACTGCATCCAAGACTTTTTTTGGTTCAAGATGTCAAAGTAATTTTCCGAAGTGATTTATTCATCAGCCTAAATGCACATATATATACAAGTACATTAGTCAATCTTGACTTAGAAACTAGCAATGTAAGACAAATTACTCTAATAATTCTAATAAATAAAGGCGCAATAAGCCTAATAGCTCCTAATATCTCTTAATACCCTCCCTCAAGTTGGAGCATGAAGATCTCGAATGTCTAACTTGCACAAAATTCCTTTGAACGGACGTCCTCCAAGTGCTTTAGTGAAGATATCCGCCAGCTGTTGAGTAGTAGAAACATGTTGGGTCTGAACAATTCCAGCTTGTATATCGTCTCGAATGAAATGACAATCAATCTCCACATGTTTTGTTCTCTCATGAAACACAGGATTAGCTGCAATATGAAGCGCAGACTGACTGTCATAATATAAATCCATTGGACCAGAATGTGCAATACCCATCGTTAACAACACACTCTTTAACCACTTCAACTCCTTCAATGCCAAAACCATAGCTCGATACTCTGCTTCAGTTGAAGAGCATGATACAACATCTTGCTTTTTTGACTTCTATGACACAGGAGAATTTCCCAATTTTATCAACTATCCACTCAAAGATCTCCTCGTGATTGGACATCCAGCCCAATCTGAATCACACCAAGCTGTAAGATGAAAATTACAATCAGATTTCAACAAAATCCCCATTCCCGGGCACCCTTTCAAGTAACAAACAACTCTCAATGCAGCCATCCAATGATCTTCTCTTGGCTCATTCATAAATTGAGATAAAATGTGAACTGAATAGGCAAGATCTGGTCTAGTCGCAGCCAAGTAAATCAACCTTCCAACCAGTATCCAATATTTCTTTGGATCAATCAAAATATTTGTCGTCGACCTTCCCAACTGATGATTTTGCTCCATCGGAAACTCTACAGGCCTACCACCAAGCAAACCGACATCAGCAATAATATCCAGAGCATACTTTCTCTGTGATAAGTATATACCCTCTGCATTTCTTGCAACTTCCAATCCAAGAAAATATTTCAATTTTCCCAAATCCTTCATATGAAAGCAATTGCTTAAATACGTTTTAAACTTTTGTATCACCTCAAGAGAGTTTCCTGTCACCACAAGATCATCCACATACACTAGAACGTGCAAGTGAACTTTATCACAAACTAATGAGAAAAGAGAGTAATCAGCCTTACTCTGTGTAAAACCGTACCCTAAAACTGTCTTCGAAAGTTTCACGAACCAACATCGCGGAGCTTGTTTCAAACCATACAACGACTTGCGCAAACGACATACCATACCCTTCTTAGAAGCACCAAAACTCTGAGGTACCCTCATAAAAACCTCTTCATCCAAATCTCCATGAAGAAACGCATTTTACACATCCATCTGATGTAGCTCCCAACTTTTCCCAGCGGCAACTTGAAGAACCAATCGAACTGTGCTCATCTTTGCTACAGGAGCAAATGTATCAGAATAATCAATCCCTTCTTTTTAACGATTGCCACATGCCACGAGTCTCGCCTTATACCTTTCAATCAAGCCATCCGCATTATACTTAATTGTATAAACCCATTTACACTCAATCACATGCTTACCTGGTGGTACTTGTTCAATCAACCATGTTTGATTTCGTTCTTGGGCCTCAATTTCGAGTCTCATAGCTTCTCTCCATCGCAGATCTCGCAGATCCTTCATGGCCTCAGCAAAACTTTTCGGCACAACTCCTTCAGTTATACTACACAGAAATGCCTTGTGTGACACAGAGAACCTTTCACAATTTACATAATTCTCAATACCATAATCATTACTCAACTCCTGACTCACAGTGGAAATATTCATTGTAAATGTCGTATTGCACACATAGTCGCGTAACTTGACAGAAGATTCTTTCTTTCTCATTCCTCGCCCCAAAGTTTCTGTTGATGCAGGCTGTTGCATAGTTTCAGCCTGTGTCACCGATGCAGGTTCTGTTACTAAAGCAGACTGCACATTCTCAAACTGTGTAACCAATGCAGGTTCTGTCACTAAAGCAGGCTGCACAATCTCAGACTGTGTAACCGATGCAGGTTCAATTTTTGGCGCTGTAATTCCTAAGATATCACGTATTTCGTTTCCTATAGTCTATTTTTTTTCTTCTGCAACCTTGTCTGACACAACCTGAGTCTGTGTCATTGTATCTCTTGTGAGAGGTTATATAATTTCCCTTGTCAAGGCAGGTTCTATATCGTCAAATCCAGCATTATCATCCACATATAACCTCATTTGATTAGAATTAGAAGGCACATCCAGCTGTGCATTTGTTAGCTCCAAATATGGGAATCGTTCCTTAATAAAAGTGACATCCCGAGAAACAAAGATCTCACGTGTCTCCAAGTCAAATAAGTTCCATCCCTTCTTTGCATAAGGGTATCCCAAAAATACACATTTTATGCTTCTACTCGCAATTTTATCTCCATGACGTTTCTGATTATGAGCATACGCTAAACATCCAAAAACTCGTATCTCACTATAAGCAGGAGCTTTTCCAAAGATGATTTCATAAGGACTCTTACCATTGTGTAACATAGAAGGCGTATGATTAATTAGATACGCAGCACTCAAAGCACAATAACTCCAAAGTTCTATTGGTAAATTTGCCTAAAACCTCAACGTTCGTGCGTCATTCAGTATATGTTGATGTTTTCGCTTCACTCTACTATTTTGTTGAGGAGTTCCTACACACGAAGTTTGATGAATTATCCCTGATGTACAAAAATACTCCTTCATACCCATGAATTCACTACCATTATCACTTCGCACGATTTTCACATGTTTCTCAAACTGACGCTGAATGAGAGCAAAGAAATTTACCATTGTTTTATGAACTTGTGTTTTATCAGCAAGAAGAAAAACACACACAGTTCTAGAATAATCATCCACGATAGTTAAAAAATATAAGGATCCACACACGCTCTGTGTTCGATATGGCCCCCACAAATCACAATGAATCATCTCAAGGCATTCTTTGCTTTTCTCTGTACTCACAGGAAATACATCCTGACACTGCTTTGCTCGGAAACAGACATCGCAATCGGAAACACTAACACTCTTTTGATCCACTTCTGGCAATCTCCTAATAACCTTTTCAGAAGCATGTTCCATCTTTTTATGCCAAAGTTCCAAAGATCCCAACTTACTGACCTTCGCCACATTCACGGTCTTCTGAATACCTTGAAGAAAATACAATCCATCTTTTCTTTCACCCACTGCAATCAGAATTTGCAAAGCAAGATCCTGTATCCGAAACATTTGCTTGGAGAACAACACAATGCAATTCATTGGATCAATAATCTGTGACACAGAGATGAGATTGTACTTGAGTTACTTGACAAAAAGCACATGTGTCAAAGTTAAGTTCTCCGTCAATGCCACACTTCCTTTTCTAACAGCAACCATAACATTTCCATTAGGCAGACCCACTAAACATGGTGAGACTTTATGCACATCAAACATACCAATTAACGTACCCATCATATGGTGCGACGCACCACTATCAATAATCCACTTATCTGTATAGGTGTTATCACTCACACAATTTGCTATCTCTAATCTCGAATCGAACAAGCTTATGCCATTGATCTTTCTTGAGCCCTGTCATAGCTTGTGGATCAACCTGTAACGCCTCCGTGTGTGACACACGTTTTTCAGAGTGTGACACATGTTTCGTAGGTTTTTCATACTTCTCCAGCTACCAATCTGGATATCCATATACCTGATAACATGATCTCATATCATGACCATACTTCGAACAATAAGAACACTTAATTCCTCAACTCTGAAATCTCATATTTTCTAAAAAACAGAGAAATTCCCAAGGTTTCTCCACCGAATAAAAAAATTCCAAGCCCTTATGGCTTTACAGAAATCCCGAACCTCGTTGGTCCGAGTTCACCAAAAATAAAAGAGCAAGACCTCGTCGGTTTGCTTTTCCAATAAACCACAACTTATAAACAAGAATTTGAATCAAGAGCTAGACCAAAACTTTATGTAGCCTTAGGCTCTGATTCAAGAGCTAGACCAAAATTTTATGTAGTCTTAGGCTCTGATACCATGTCAAAGTAATTTGCGGAAGTGATTTATTCATCTGCCTAAAAATACGTACATTAGTCAACCTTGAGTTAAAAACTAGCAATGTGAGACAAATGATATATCATGGTTTTTATGGTTTTTAACCATGGTATAAGTCTTATTTATAGAGTCTTTTTAGTGTCTTTCGAGTCTTTTGGAGTCTTTTCAGGTCATAGGTACGTTTGGAGCTTAACTGGAGACTTTGGAGCACTTTGGAGCTTAATCAGGATCAAATTCGTCAAGTATGGATTTTGTGCTTTAGTGACGCTCGACACCATGGAGAGTGACGCGCGACACTTGTTGCAGAAATAAGGAAAACGTGATTTTGTTTCCTATTTGAAGAAGGAGTTGGGCCCAAACGTTTTCAAGGAAGCCCAAAACGTGTCTTAGAGATATATATAGGGCTTTTATTCCCTTTTTACGATTACCTTAGATTTTCTTAGAGAGAGTTTTTGTTTTTGAGAGTTTTTGGGGAGACAAGTCTGAAACTCTGTTCCGGAGAGAGAAGATTTCGAACCCCTGTTTATTAATCTATTTACTGTTTTCTGCAATCTATTCATTGATGCTTATTGCTTCAATCTCCATGTCTGAGTAGTTTGCTTGTTAGGTTTAGGGTTCTCATAAAGGATTTCATTGGATGTTAGATTGATTGGTTAGTTAGGGTTCATAATCTATTTAGTTCTTCACCATAGGTTGTTCTTAAAGCTAATTCTGGATTGGCCACCTAGCACTTAGATCTTA